CAATATTCGTTCGTTTGTGAACATAAACCTCGAAGGTGTGGGTGCTCGCTGAAGTGACTTATCTGTAGTGTTATCATGAACTACGAATACCTGATATATTGCGGTCGATCATATATATGAATGACGCATTCTCGATCACGGATTTCCAGTTTTTCAAACGGCTTACTACAAAGAAATTTTACACAAATCCCAAATTTCAAAATTATCATCAAAACATTTTCTCGATACCAAAGAAATTGTTTTTCCATAGCATTTTTCACAAGCAATGACATTTCTTCACTTAAATATCTAGGAAACCTGGTATTCTCCAAGTCAATAAAGGGGTTAATACGGATTGCTTTTCGCAAATCATTCAAATAACGCCGTGTTCGGTCTGTACTAGCGAAAGAAAATACTCTCGTTAAAAATCACGTTGAGATTTTTTCTAATCACCGTTATCTCACAAAGAGCCAATGATCGTAATTTTCCGCTTCTACTAACCACGTAATTTCACCTAAACTAAATGTTAAACAGAAAAGCTTCTCATAAATATCAACAAATTACGTCTTCGCTGTTCATCTTTGTTTTGTGAAACTTGAAGGTTAATTAACCGTTCTTCGTCTAACGTTAACTTAAGCTAAAACGGTTTCCCAAACCGAAAATATTCCAAAAGAGCTAGGAGATTTTTAAACAACCTCCATCGTTCCAGAGAATCGTAAAAACTCGGGATATATCCTAGAATCTAAGGTTGTGATAGTTCAGTTAAAATAAATTTAGTAATAACATTAAATTAACTGTTTTCAGTTAGCAGTTAGACTAACTACTAACTATTTTTAGATTGTAGTTAGTGACAAATTAACTAGACCGTGACAACCCTGCTAGAACCTAGGGAAATTACAAAAAGGATGCTTGAAAAAAAGTTCGAGATCTTCATAAACACCATCATGATGATATATAACGACACAACACGTTGGTACTCATCATATTTTCATCTTCACTTCTATACATAGACACTCACCACACTGGAGCTTCGTGACAGTCATATCGGAGATGTTGGGACGCAGCATTTCACTGATGCTTTGAGATATTACCCGGTGATTCTGATCATATTTTCATCTCCCTCATAAGCATTTTCTTCTGTACACATAGACACTCACCATGGTGGACCTTAGTGACAATTACATCGGACCTGTTGGGACACAACATCTAGCTGACGCCTTAAGAACTAACAGGGTGATTCTCATAGTATTTTTATTTCTCTCATATTAATCTTCTTTCATACGCACAGACACTCACCACACTAGTCCTTAGCTCCAATCAAATCGGAGATATTGGTGCACAGCATTTGGCTGATGCTTTAAGAGTTAACAAGGTGATTCACATCCTATTTTCATTTCACTCATATTCATCTTCTTTTCTACGCATAGACACTCACCACACTGGATCTTGCTACCAATTATATCACAGATCATGCTAACTCTAAAATCGGAGATCTTGGAGCACAACAGTTGGCTGATGCTTTAAGAAATAACTCGGTGATTCACATCCCATGTTCATCTCCTTTATACGCATTTTCTTCTTGTACACATAGACACTCACCACGCTGAGGCTTGATGGTAATAAAATCGGAGATGTTGGGGCACGACATCTAGCTGATGCCTTAAGACATAACTCAGTGATTCTCCTCCTATTTGCATCTCTTGTATATTCATCGCCTTTTCTACACATAGACACTCACTAAAATGAACCTTCGAAGCAATAAAATCGGAGATGTTGGAGCACAACATCTAGCTAATGCCTTGAGAAACAATACGGTAATTCTCATCGTATTTTCATATATCTCGTATTCATCTTCTTCTTTATTTACAGACACTCACTTCGCTGAGCTTTGAATGCAATGAAATCGGACATATTGGAGCACAACATCTGGCTGATACTTTAAGAAATAACTCGGTGATTCTCATCATATTTTTATCTGCCTCATACCTATCTTCTTCTGTGTACATAGACACTCACTATAATGAACCTTCGAGCCAATAAAATCGGACATGTTGGAGCACAATATCTAGCTGATGCCTTGAGAATTAATACGGTAATGTTCATCGTATTTCCACATATATTATATGCATCTTCTTCTCTACACATAGGCACTAACCACACTGGAGTTTGGTTGGAATGAAATCGGGGATATTGGGGCACAACATGTAGCTGATGCCTTGAGAAATAACAAAGTGATTCTCCTTCTACTTTCATTTCTTGGATATTCATCTTCCTTCTCTACACATAGACACTCACTACACTGAACCTTCGAGTCAATGAAATCCGAGTTGTTGGGGCACAATATCTAGCTGATGCCTTAAGAAATAACTCAGTGATTCTCATCGTTTTTTAATTTCCCTCATTTTCATCTTCTTCTCAATACATAGACACTCTCCACACTGGAGCTTGGTGGCAACCCAATCACGTATGTTGGGGCACAACATCTGGCTGAAGCTTTAAGAAATAATACGGTAATTCTCATCCTATTTTCATCTCTTTCATATTCATCTTCTTTTCGACACATAGACACTCATCACACTGGAGCTTCGTTGGAATAGGTCCGGAGATATCGCGGCACAACATCTTGCTGATACCTTAAGATATAACAAGGTGATTCTCCTACTATTTTCATTTCTTTCATATGCATCTTCTTTTCAACGCACAGACACTCACCACACTGGAGTTTGGTACCAATAAAGTTGGAGATGTTGGGGCACAACAGTTGGCCGATGCTTTAAGAAATAACAAGGTGATTCTCATACTATTTTTACTCTTCACATAGTCATCTTCTTCTGTATACATAGACTCTCACTACACTGGATCTTCAAGACAATGAAATCGAACATGTTGGGGCACAACATCTCGCTAATGCCTTAAGAAATAACACGGTAATTCTCATCGTATTTTCATATACCTCGTTTTCATTTGCATCTCTGTTCACAGACACTCACTTGGTTGAACCTTGAAAGCAATAAAATTGGAGATGTTGGGGCACAACAGTTAGCTGATGCTTTAAGAAATAACGCAGTTATTCTCATACTACTTTCATATGTCTTGTATTCATCTTCTTCTGTACACATAGACACTCACTACACTGAATCTTGGACGCAATGAAATCGAACATATTGGAGCTCAACATGTCGCTGATGCCTTACGGAATAACAAGGTGATACTCATCTTACTTTTATCTCTTGTATTGATCTCCGTTTCCACACATAGGGGCTTACCACATTGAATCTTAGATGCAATCGAATGGGAGATGTTGGGGCACAGCATCTAGCTGATGCTTTAAGAAATAATTCAGTGATTCACATCCTATCTTCATCTGTCTGATATGCATGTTGTTCTCTACACACAGACACTCACCGGACTGGATCTTGGTGTTAATAAAATCGGACATGTTGGGGCACGACATCTCGCTAACGCCTTACGGAATAACAAGGTGATTCGTATGCTTTTTTTGTTTCTTTTATACCCACCTTCTTCTCTACACACAGACACTCACCACAATGGGGCTTGTTGATAATCATATGGGCGATGTTGCGGCACAACATCTCGCTGATGCCTTGAAAAATAACTCGGTGACTATCATCCTATGCTCATTCTTCTCATATTCATCTTTTGTTTCTACACGTAGACACTCAAGGTTTTGTATATCTTCTATTCTAATGATATTTCCGAGTCCGTTGAAGAACAATTGAAAGGACAGGATAATAGAATGAAGGACTTTGGTTTTTTTTATTACACTTCTTTTAATCGCTAATAAAACAATGGTATACTTTTGTTTGATTTGATTTATGTTACCAGGCGCGCAACTAGAGAAAGGATATCTCCGTATAAGGCTGTTTTTCGGCCCCCAATATTTATCAAAGATTTCTATTCAGAGAGAATGAGGCTTCCATCCTGAGTGAAACGCTGTATTTAATTCTTCCGGAAAGCTTGAAAAAATGTTCGACCCACCCGGACCGTTGGGGTAGGGTACGGGAAAATCAGAAAAAAATATTCCAAGCCAGAGACTGTCTGACTATGGGATTTCGTAGAGTTTCAAATGCTGACTCTAAAACTGTGGTCGGATTTGAAACTCGCTTCTTCTATGGGGGAGTTATGGTGTCATTTCCATCGACCTATCTGATGGTCGTCTCAGAGTTCGTTGACCAAAAATGTATCTCAAATCGGTCTCGGTCACCCATGAAGACTTTGCCCCCAGCCAGAATTTTGCGCTCTATCCGATGGTGATCGAGAGAGATCTCGAGAGAGATGTCGAGGGAGTTGTCGACAGAGATGCCGAGAGAGTTATCGAGACAATTTTCGAGACAGTTGTCGAGAGAGGTGGCGAGAGAGGTGTCGAGACAGCTAACCACAGAAATTTCATCAGGTTACAATAAGATATTCATGCATGATTCTCTCGACAACTCTCTCGATAACTCCCTCGATATCTCCCTCAACATCTCTCTCGATAACTATCTCGACAACTGTCTCGAAAATTGTCTCGAAAATTGTCTCGACAACTCCCTCGACATCTCTCTCGACATCTCTCTCGACATCTCTCTCGAGATCTCTCTCGATAACTCTCTCAGCGTCTCTCTCAACAACTCTCTCGACGTCTCTCTCGACGTCTCTCTCGACATCTCTCTCGAAATCTCTCTCGGCACCTCTTTCGATAACTCTCTCGGCGTCTCTCTCGACAACTCTCTCGACAACTCTCTCGATATCTGTCTCGATATCTATCTCCATATCTGTCTCGATATCTCTCCCCACTAGAGATGAGGGGGGCCAAATTTTTGAAAAGTTACGCGACCGGTACCAGCCTCGAAAAAGACGGTCCTGTGTAACCCATTGAAAAGCATAAAATGTTTCGAAGTTATTGTTAGATGCTCTCGTTTACCATAGTTTGATGATTTGATATTTTAGCCACAATCAGTCAGTTTTATGAAGCATGTCGAAATAACGATATTGATTTAGTTAAACAATATTTGCAAACAATGTCAATCGAAGCAATAAATCGCATCGAACCAAATAGATCTACAGCACTTCATGTAGCTGCCTATCGTGGATATGAGGAGATTGTTGATTTATTACTACAAAATGGTGCTTCTAATACAATAATAAATAAATACAATTTGACTCCGTTGGATGAAGCTAAAACTGACAGAATCAAACAATTAATCCGTCGTCGCCCAAATAAAACTCGTTTTGTCAGTGAGTCTGTTGAATGGATTCGTTCAACAAACGATGCTGATTTTCAAGCACATGAGTATCTGGAAAAATTAGAAACATATGGTAAAGATCCAAAGTTTTATCAATTGATTGAGTATATAAAACAGAATTATCTTGAAAAAGATTTGCAAGATATAGATGATATCGATATAATTAAAAAATTTTTTGATATGGCAATCAAAAAGAAAGATCCCGTTTATTTATTAAAAGCATATACAGCTGAAACTGGTTTTTATTCAGCAGTAAATATTGATCTGGCACGAATAGAACCTGAAAATTTGATAGCAACTGAAAATCTTAGCCGAGCATATTATATTGGAATCATTGCCCGTCATCCCAAATTGGAACCATTATCATTCACAGGAGTAACATATCGCGGCATGATGATTAGTAATGAAGATATCAAACAATACAAAAAAGGTACACGTATTTTAACTAAAACATTTTCGTCATCTTCAAAAGAGATAGAAAGTTCCATTACGATTTCTTGTCCCAAAAAACTCTTCTGATGATCTTTTAACCCTTTCCGGCCGGATGTTGCCATTTGGCAACATTGACTCAATATTTTGGAAATGGTTGACTTTCAGTGGGAGCATGTAACGTTCTTACGATGCGATAATTACTACAACATATTTTAACAGATATTCCAGAATCGTAAGACAAAAAAAATTCTCCACGGAAAAAATAACTGAATTCGTATGCAGTGCTCCAAAAATGCATGCGAATCGTAAAAATGATATTCCTGCACGTCTCAACAATTAGTATCAGAAATAACTTGCGGTTAATTTTCCTTAGTAGATTTGTTGCACATTGCGCTAGTAAGATGAATTATTCAATGTACTCGAATAATAAAATATGGTGATGTTGCCATTTGGCAACACCCGGCCGTAACGGGACAAAAATTTCTAAAATTAATTTTCGTCTTTAATGGTCAAATCAAAGTATTCTACTGCATTTCTACGATAATGTATGTATCACTAGTGAAGTAAAAACCTTATTTTCATGTGTTAGAAGCAACTTTCCATACCTTATTCACAATTTTTAAAAAAGTGCATATTCCAATCGGAATATAAAATTTTGTGAAAAGGTTTATTTTCGAAAAAATTACACTTTTCTGGAAAAAAATTTACTTCCTCAGTGAGCAGAGTAAAATTACTTAGGATTTAGTGTCATTGTAGTGAAGTCCGGTGACTACAGTCAGCAGCATTTTGTCAAAATAATATGAACCCATCGTCTCTTAACATGTACTGATGAGTTTTATAATGAGTATGAATAATTGAACTACGAGTATATATGTACTGTCGTTATCGGTATTAGATACCAAGGCCATCTATCGTACCATATTATCATAGGCGAAAAACATGTTCTTTTATTTGACGTTCTTCGTTGTTCTTGACAACTGCTATAAATAGACTGCACTGTGTGTGAATAGTTGACATATATCAAATTCTAAACTTCCAAAAAGTTCTAAATTTTCGGTTTTATACGTCATTCTAAGTAGTAAGAGTAGTTGGATATTTTTAGACGTAAGAAGAACGAGTGATATTCTTGATCAACGGATTTATGGTAATGGCTGCTAAAACAGTTTCTAAGAGAGATATTGTTATACCAAAGGGTATTAGCGATGAAGAGATTGACTCGTCTGAGTTGGAAGATGAAGTAAGTAAAGTTGCTCATAATTTACGAAATGACCTTATTATGAGCGAAACGTCATCATCAAGTGATTGTGATGAAACAATTGAACGAAATGCTCCACAACCAAAAAAGAAAAAAAGAATAGATTGGAAAAAAGAAAGATTTTGTAACTCCAGCAGCGGCTTTTGCTGGCATGTTGTCACCACCGCCAATGAATGAAGAATTAGAACCAATTGATTATTTTTATTCTATGTTTGACAGAAAATCAATAACACTATTAACCGATCAATCAAATCTATATTCAGTTCAAACCAATCCCAACAAGCCGGCACGTATTTCTGAAGTTGAAATGGTACATTTCATTGGTGTATTAATAATGACTGGAATATATTGCTTTCCAGAACAACGTTTCTTTTGGATGAACACAAGTCGTGTGGAATCCATATCTTCAGTCATGAGTCGAGATCGTTTTTTAGAAATCAAAAAATATCTACATGTTGTTGATAATTCAAAGCAGCTAAATCGTACCGATCCAAATTTTGATCGAGCACATAAAGTGCGTCCATTATTAAATATTGTAAAAGAAAATTTCAGAGAAATTGAAAAAGAGGAAAAATTAAGTGTGGATGAACAAATAATACCTTTTAAAGGAAAAAGTATAATGAAGCAACACATGCCAAGTAAACCGAATCGTTGGGGGTATAAAATGTTTCTTCTAGCTGGTGGTGAAAGTGGAATATGCTATGACTTTATTTTTTATACAGGTAAATCTGACAAACCGGAGTACGGTTTTTGTACTAACATTGTTCTTGATTTACGTGAAACTGTGCCACAAGCCATCAACCATAAAGTTTATTGCGATAATTATTTCACAACAATTCGATTGCACGTGGAGCTGAAAAAAGTAGGTACTTATGTAGTTGGGACGGTAAGACCCAACCGCTTAACTGATTTAATTATGAAAAATGGCAAAGAATTGTCAAGTAAAGGTCGAGGAGCAATGGACCATCGTGTCGCTGAAGTTGATGGCGTGGCACTATGTGTCACAAGATGGTATGACAATAATGTTGCCAATTGTCTTTCAACGTTGCATGGCTGCGAGCCAGTCAATTCAGTTGAAAGATGGTCTTCCAAACAAAAAAAAACATATACAAATTGTAAGGCCGCATGTTGTAAAAGCTTATAATCAACATATGGGTGGAGTGGATTTGATGGATATGTTGATTTCTTTGCATCGTATTGATTGTCGTTCAAAAAAATATTACACAAAGATTATATTTCATCTTATTGATCTATGTATTGTGAATGGCTGGCTTTTGTATCGCTGCCATTGTTTTCAACTCAATATTCAAAAAAAAAATATAATGTCGTTATTAGCATTTCGTATTAAAATTGCTGATGCTTTACTCAAGTCTGTTCCAGCTACACCACCAGTTAAGCGTGGTCGTCCATCATTAGATTCAATATCAAATGAAAATAATCCAATGATAACAACAAGAGTTGTACCAAGCTCAGTTCCAACAACAAGTGTTCGACTCGACAAGTTTGATCATTGGTCTGTTCATAAGTCAAAAGGCCGGTGTCGAAATCCGGGTTGTAGTGGTTATACAAGAATAAGTTGTTCGAAATGTCTACAACGCCTGTGCCTTACCGACAACAGCAATTGTTTCATAGACTATCATCATTCATAAGCTACTTTTACGAAAACGGTTCTTAATTGTTTATGTTTTCTTCTCTATTCCTTTTTTATGCGAAAATTGTATCTATTTTTGTTGAAATAACGTTATGAATAAATGAAAGAAGCACAAACTAGTGCTTTTTGATGATCGAAAACAAAAAAAAAATTTTTCAAATTTTTGACCCTTTTCGGCCGGCTGTTGCCAAATGGCAACATGGGGTCATGAACTACACAATAACTTTTTTGCTCCAAAAATTATACTTTTGCTATCCCTAAGGTACAGCAATAAAAAATATGTAGAAACAGATTTTTTTGCTGTTTGGTTTGTGGGAGCCGGCCGGAAAGGGTTAAGTGCACTATGTACCTATCAAATACGTAATGAACGAACTGCATTGGATATTGAAAATGAATCTTTATTTACCGATGAAAAAGAAGTTTTAATTCTACCATACTCGGCGTTCAAAATAATTGATATTAAACACAACAGTGACAAGTCACCAAGATATGAAATCAGATTAAAAGAATGTGAGCCATGGTAGATTGAACTATTGGGTTGATGCAAAAGTATCCGCCGATTTTTTTTCTTTTTAATGTTTCATAATTTTATTGAAACAAAACAACATCAATCAACAACATATATACCATTGTTATCTACGACATACTCCCATCTCTTAGGCAAATCCAGAATGCCATCTTTAAAGAATTTCGTGGACAAAGACTGCAAGAAACTTTCGAGGTCCGATTTTAAGTGTGCTTCATCGTCGAAGTGTTTCTGGAGCAGATGATTACGAAGCGAGCGGAATAAGTGATAGTCGGAGGGTGCTAAGTCTGGTGAATACGATGGATGGGGTAGGAGTTCCCAGCCCAGTTCTTCCAGCTTTTGACGGGTGACTTTTGATACGTGAGGTTTAGCGTTGTCGTGAAGCAGCCGAACTTTTCGTCGTTCTGGACGCTTGGCTTGAAGTGCCACCTTCAAATTTTCGAGTTGTGTGCAGTAAAGCTTGGAGTCTACTGTGGTGTTAGGAGGAAGAAGTTCGTAGTAGATAACACCTTGAAAATCCCACCAAATTGATAGCATCACCTTTTTTGGGTGCAGGTCGTTTTTCGGCTCTGGCTCCGACATATCTTCAGGATTGAGCCACTGGCGCTTGCGTGTATGATTAACGTAGAGTACCCACTTTTCATCACCAGTGATGATTTGCTGGAGAAACCTGTATCGGTCGCGCTTGGACAACAAAAAGTTGCAGATGATGATTCTCTGTTGCATGTTGTCTGGTGAGAGTTGATGTGGAACCCATGTACCAAGCTTATTGACTTTTCCCATTTGATGCAGATGCCGATCGATCGTGGATTGGTTGCAGCCTAGCATTGCTGACAAGTCACGTGTGGTTAGCCGTGGATTGTCTTCTATCAATGCTTTTAATCGTTCAACATCAGATTCGAGAGGACGTCCAGACCTCGGTTGATCTTCCAATGACAAGTCGCCTTCCCGAAATCTTTTGAACCAATCACGACATGTTCGATCAGCAACTGCACCTTTGCCGAGAGCAGCACATATATTGCGAGCAGCAGCACTTGCATTGTTCCCGAGCTGGAACTCATACAAAATACAATGTCGAATATGCATAGAAATCTCGGACATTTTTTAATCTAAAATGTTTACACTTGAGAATATCTATTAATGTCATTTCATGGTACTAGCCAAGTACTGTCATATATGCAAAAGAAAACAAATGTATTATACTGTTAGATGATTGTAAAAAAATTTCAAAAAAATCGGCGGATACTTTTGCATCAACCCAATATTATTCGATACTTTGACTTTTTCACTATTAGAGTTATTTACGTTTTATTCAATTTAAATTTACTCATTTTTTTCAAAAGTCTCCGCTAATATAATGAGTGAGCAGTGCATAGAAACAGAGATACGCATGGGTAAAGAACGAAATACGAGTAATTTAGGATAGATCTTGCATTTTCCTTTATATGACAATGCTCTTCGCATCCGAATGCATCGATTTCTTCTTTCGCAACCGCAATTGTTAAAAAAGATTCGAACAAATAAAAAATATGAATCTAAAAAACAAAAGACCCATGCAATCTTGGAATCGTTCTGCACACTCACTGACGCACCCTGTGCCTCTACGACAAACAGCAAGAGAACTGTGACAACAAGCTCATGTAAGACACAATATTCTCATTTTCTTGCTCGCACTTCTATCGGACGCAGCGTTGCGTTCCTTCTTCGAGAATTCTCGCGACGTTCTGAATATTTTAACAGAACGGCTCTTGCAGAACACCGGGCCGTTAAAGAGGAATGGAAAAGAAAACAAACCGACTGGTTGCATATATAGTGCGACTTGTTTTTTCAAAGTGTTCTCAACCAGAGAAACAGAGAACGACACAAAAATTCATTGGCAAGCAAGTAATAAAAACTAGGTGACAATATTTTGTTTTTATTATTGTTGAGACGAAAGCTCTCTAAAAAAATTGGTTCCATACGAAACCAAAAGGTTCCGCATTTGTACCGAACGGCCGAACTTTTTTTCGGTTTCGGAGTTCGTGCCGAAACCAAAATAAAGGTATCGCATGTCACCACGAAACCAATGAGTCCCAAAAAGAGGTTTCAGGCAGACTTACGAAACCAAAAAAAAGGTTTCGAATTTGTACCCGGGGGAAGAACCAAAAAAGAGTTTCGTAGGTCTCCGAAACCACTTTTCGGTTTCGTATGGAACCAATTTTTTTAGAGAGAGGATAGGGGCGCTTAAGGACTGATCTTGGGCCATTCTTGATTCGCGTTGAAAAATAGTCTTCTAGGGATAAAATTTCGCGAGGAATCGTTGCGCGACAAAATCAACCATTTCAGAGTGATCTGGAGTACTTTATGTCTCAAATACTAATACTCACCGGAAAATGACCCGTGTAACCGCTTGTTCAAACATGACTGACTAGTAAGTTATAGGAGAGATACGAGCCAAAAAGAATCTCGGTCGATTGCCCGCCTTGATGCGTAGCTCTCATATAAATTTCACGTTGATCAGTTGAACCCTTAAAGCAGGAGGATACGAACACTGTTCGGATGGCGAATACTCTACAGAGGACTATTATCGGTTCCACCCACTGCTTTTTAAATTATCTCTTCAAAGGAAAAAACATCATGGGATTTTAATTGATTATGAACGATCGAAAGAAAAGAAAAGCTACAAAACTGTATTCTTTCCGATTGCCTCAGAGGTGATTTTCATCATAATAACCCAGCAGACTTTTGTTAGGCGATTGAAATCGAGTCTATGATAAAGTCGTTTGCCACCGACTTGTATCCCAGTCGTTTTCTGTTGTAGAGAAATAGTCTACTAGATGTAAAATTTCACGAGGAATCGTTTCGTGACAAAATCAAGCCATTTCAGAGTGATCTGGAATACTTTACGCATGAAATACTCATGGTTCGGACTAAATGAGTCATGCAAAGGCTTAAAGAGATACCACTACTATGTCATCTAAAGGATTTTGAGTCAAACCTCACTTAATCAATTGCCAGTCCCGATCTCTATCTCTAACATAAATGTCAGCTTGAATGGTAAGAGTTTCGAGACACTAAGACTCACGAAGGAAGGTCCCCAACTGACGGAGAGCTTCTGAGCTGATATATTGACAAGAAGTAGATCTCGATGAGACTAGAGAAAACCTCGAAATATTTCGGACCCACCGGCCTTCCTTCAAGCGATATCGAATTTTTTGTGAATTTTCTCTGTAGGACCCCCGTTTTCCAGCAAGATTATATTTTCGAATTTTGACTTGAAACTTTGCTCACATCAAGAGCCCAAGTAAACTAGCTTCCAGAAAAAAAACTTCAGAATTTTTGAAGATGGTCTCTCCGAGATATGAAATTTTCAAGATATAGGCGCTTTTCCATAGATAGTGTATAAAACATGCATGTTTTGAAAAATTCATATCTCGGAGAGACCATCTTCAAAAATTCTGAAGTTTTTTTTCTGGAAGCTAGTTTACTTGAGGTCTTGATGTGAGCAAAGTTTCA